TCTTTTCATTGGCTGGTCTTCTGTTCTTTGCCATTGGCGGTCTTCTCTCTGAGTGCATCCTATATATACCGTTGCACTACCATCAACCACTAGTCTTACTAGCTTTACAACGACTCTAACAAACAATCAATCCATTCCTAACACCCCTAACTCGAGTATTCTTGATAATTCAGATAAAAGTAGTGTTCTTACAGAAACTTTGGAAAATTTAACTGGAAATGAAAAGATTGTATTAAATGTTGGTGGAATAAAGGTATTTTTTTTTCTTTTTTAAACAGTATTTCAAATATATATATATATATATATATATATTAATTGAATCAATTATATGTTTAAAAATCAAATTATATGTTTAAAAAACAGTATGAAACTTATAGGTCAACTTTAACAGCTTATCCAACTACATTACTTGGTTCTATATTTCTTTATAATGATCATCAAAATCCTTTTTGGGATCCAAATCTTGATGAATTTTTTATCGATAGAGATGGTCATTTGTTTCATTATGTTATGCAATTCTATCGAACTGGAAAAGTTCCTACCATTGATCAAGGTTCGAATTTCTTTATAATATTTCATTTTGAAACTTCAAATCTATTAATTATTTGATTATTAATATATGGTTAATATATGGTTAATATTTGTTAAATTCTTTATTTTTTTTTTAGCAATAGGATTAATTCCTTTAACATCAGCTGAGTTAGAGGATGAATTGGAATATTTTAAAATTCCTATATATCCACCTTCTTCATTCTCATCAACAACTTTATCTCCCAATCAGCTATCCTTACGTCACAAAATGATAGCTTCCGAAATTGATTCTTTTATTCAAACTCTAACTTCTACTCTCTTATCTATATCTTCTCAATTCAAAAAAGAATTTTTCTTTAAACGTAATTTTCAAATTTATTTTGAAATAAATTTTCATGATAATGATCGAATAACGGATTTTAACATATCTCCAAATGTTCCTACAACTTTGAAACAACAATTACAAAAAGAATTTGATGGCTTTTCCTTATTGGGTTACGCTATTTTAGAAAAGTTTGGTGAAGATATTGGAAGATATATGATAAGTAATGTTCAAGGTTGTACTTGGGAGTGTAATAAAACTAAGGATGTTGGATGGGGTGGTGTACATCAAATATATAAAATTAAGGTTGGTGTTGAGAATAGTTTTGAACATGGGGACGTGGTTGAGCATTGTTGTTTGGCTAATGTTGGTAGTGGTAATTGAATTGGAAGTCCATAATATGGTATATAAATTCGAACATTTGAATTGAAATTTAAGAAAAAAGATGAGTTAATTTTTTATTCATCATTTTTTTTTTTACGCTAGTGGATAGTGGTTAGTGATATTGTATTACCAATATTACATATACAGTATCCATTATTCTAAATAGCGCAGTAAATTAGAATTTGTTTTAAATTGTATATACAATAACAATTCTATCAAATTATTATTATATATATATATATTTTATATAGAACTTTCATCCCCTGTATTTATGTTAGATTTTTAAAATATTGATAAACATCCTGTATATTATGATTATTCACTTTACATCGAGCTTTTTTTTTAAAAAAAAAAAAAACTATAAAACAATAACGAAAATAAATAAATTAATAAATTAAGGAAAGAAACGCTCATTCTATATGCAATCCAAAGACTTTGTGTAAGCCGCCTGCCTGCATATACTTTTTAACTTGATCTATTAACAATTAGCCTTGCATGATAAGAACATTATCTATTGGAATCTAGTAAATTTTTAACTTTAATGCTTATTAATTACGATTCTAGATAACTTTGATAAAGAAACTTTGACTTATTTCAAATTCACTTATCCTTCCCTGGTAGCAATTTTCGTTTGTAATCTTTTTATTTTAATTTTTATTCATTGGCTTATATAATTATTAT